AGCATCACCAGTGAGACCACCTAAGGACAGTATGTATACTTTGGGCCCCAGTATGTATACTTTGGGCCATTGGCAATTAGGGAGGGCATCTGGGGGAGGTGTGATTTGGGCTGAACTTGAGAGATGGATTGGGTTCAGGTATGCCTTGGGGTGAACCAGGGACACCCAGGAGGGGCAGAGGAGACGCCTTAGCAATGCTCGCAGGCAGAAGCCAGTGTGGTGTTCCAAAGTTTAAGACCTCTGTATGCAGGTGGGAGGAACAGGAAGTGAGGAGGGTAGACAGGTTGGCAGATGATGGACAACCTTGAATGCCCGGCTAGAGGGCTAAACCTGGCCCCTGTAGTCCATACATAAGGAGTCGATTAGAGGGCCGCCTGTTAAGCATCTGATTAGAGGGCCGCTCAGCCAGTTAAGCATCTGACTCTTGATTTCAGCTCAGGTCATGATCTTGGGGTCTTGGGATTGGGCCCCGCAACGGCCCCTGGCACAGAGTCTACTCCCAAATCTCTTTCTCCCTCTCCTTCTGCCCCTCCCCCAACTTGCGTGTGCGCGCGCTCTCTCTCTCTCTTTCTCTCTCTCAAAATAAATAAAATCTTAAGAAAAGAGAGTCAATTAGAACTACTTGTAATAACCAGGGGCGCCTGGGTGGCTCAGTCGGTTAAGCATCTGCCTTCGGCTCAGGTCATGATCCCAGGGTCCTGGGATCGAGCCCCTCATCGGGCTCTCTGCTCTGCAGGAAGCCTGCTTCTCCCTCTCCCATTCCCCCTGCTTGTGTTCCCTCTCTCACTGTGTCTCTCTCTGTCAAATAAATAAATAAAATCTTAAAAAAAAGAATTACTTGTAATAACCAAAAAGTAGAAACACCTCAAATGTCCATCCATTGATATGTGGGTAAACAAAATGGAATGGAATACAATGGAATATGATTTGGCTCTAGAAATGAAGTACCAATACATGCTGCATCATGGATAAACCTTGAAAACATTATGCTAAATGAAAGAAGCCAAACTGTTTATATGAAATGTTCAGAATAGGAAAATTCATAGGGACAGAAAGTAAATTAGTGGTTGCCTAGGGCTGGGGGTGCAGCTTGGTGGGGGGAATGGGGAGTGACTGCTAACAGGGTTTTCTTTTCTTTTTCTTAAAATTTACTTATTTATTTTAGGGAGAGAGAGAGAGTGTGCAAGCGAGCAGGGGGAGGGGCAGAGGGAGAGGGAGAGAGAATCTCAAGCAGACTCGCTGCTGAGTGCAGAGCCCGAGATAGGGCTCAATCTCAGGACCCTGAGACCATGACCTGAGCAGAAATCAAGAGTCAGATGCTTAACCGACTGAGCCACCCAGGTGCCCCTCCAGGGGGGTTCTTTTGGGGATGATGAAAATGTTCTAAAATTGACTGTGGTGCTGGTTGCACAACTCTGTGAATATACTAAAAATCATCAACTTTACACTTTAAATGGGTGAACTGTGTGGCATGTCAGTCATATCTCAGTAAAGCTATTACAACAAAAAAGAGTTGATTTGGGAGCAGGCACCTGCTTCCCAATCCCTACAGCCACAGGTGCATGCTGCCTGGCCCGCATGGGAGAGGGGAAGACGGTGGTCATGGACCAGTCCTGCCTTCGGTCACATCACTCTGGGGGCTCCCTGGTTGGGGTGGGGGCTGGAAGGGAAGGCTGAAAGAGGGAGGTTCATCAGGCGGCTGACTTTTCTCCTGCTGCACTGGCCCCAGACACCTGGAGGCACAGAAATGTTGGAGCTGCACAGGGTTTATGGATCACTGACAAGGGGAGAGTCTGGGAATGGGGAATGGAGCTGGGCAAGGTCACCAGGCAAGCAGGAGGGGCTGCCCAGGTCAGGAAGCTGAAGGTCTCATCTTCCTCATTGGCGGCAAATGTGGAGATGGGAAATCTGATTTTGCAATGGGTCCCTGGCCCGGGGTGGGTATTCTTGAACAGTACAGGGTGTGATTGCCCACAGCTGTCTTGGCCTTTCTCAGGAAGAACATGCTTTGGTTTGACACTTCCTGCCCCCACTCTCCACCTTGCAACCACCACCAGGGGAAGACAGATGGGCCCTAGAAGCTGAAATCCGGGCAATATCTGGGTTTCCCCCTTCTGGCTGGACAGAGCTTCCCGGGACACCATGTCCCAGACCCTTCTTGGGAATCACTCCAGGAAACAAAGGCATATTTGCTAGAAATTACCCATCACCACCCCTATGATGGGCAACTTTTCTTTTGACAGACGTTTTCTAAACCTGGCTCTGGACCCGCTGGCTGCTGGATCCCTTTGAAGGCAGAGCCCAGTGCTGGGTTCTGAGAGGGGTCCAAAGATGAAATGGGTCCTGTCCCCTCGGGAACCTGTGGGATGAAGGGAATGCAGAGTCTTGCCCTCGGGAGCCTCTGTCTGTGGGACAAACTTGTCACATTTGGGAAGCCCTGGGGGGAAGGCTAGACAGAAGGGGTGGCTTGGGGAGTCCAAGTCTAAGAGGGCAGCTCAGGCCTTCATGACTCTTGTCTAAGGAGATAGGTAGCCCTATCCTGGGGACCAGCCTGAGACTAAAGGTAGGGTTGGAGAGCTGCCTCCCATCCTGGTGCTGGGTGTGGGGTGCATCCTAGAGGATGCCAGCTGGGGGTGACACTGGGCCAGACCTCCTGGAGAGGCTAAATCTGAGGAGAAATGTAACGGGGGCCTGGGGCAGCGGGTGGCGGTGTTGGCAAGGAAGGCACAGCTCTCAAACCTGCATGTAGGCATGCATCTGTTGGGGAACAGTTGAGCTTGAGTAACTGCAGAGCAAGGAGACTTGACCCTGACCTCACTCACAAAAATGCCCTGGGAGTGCAAGACTTGACAGGACACATGCACTTTTGCACTCACGGTCACATGTGTCCCCATGCAGACACTAGAGGGCATGTAATCCCCATCCTAAAGATAAGGAGAACCCATTGAGGCCCAGGAAAACAAAGCAACTTGCTCCAAGTCACACAGCTAGGAAAGGATGGTGCTCAGGACCCCCCCCCCCATTCCGGCAGTGCAATCCTGCAGGGGAGACAAAGGTGCGCAGTGGTCATTGCGGAGTCTGGGCAGAACCGCTATAAAAGGCCCCAATGTGAAGCCCTGCTTGACCAAGAGGCCACTGGGGCAACAGCTGGCCTGCGAAACCAGGTTGCACAGCAGCCCATTCCTCCTTCCTTTTCCCAAGGCTGAATGCGCAACCAGCAGCATGCATCCAGGCTGCCACCTTCCGAGGTGCCCCACCCGAGCCCCCAAGAGTCCCATGGGCCCCTGGAGTCAGGAGCTACCCCAGGCCTCACAGCCTCATGGCCATGCCACAGGAGATTTGGGACTGGCATTTGCCTCATGGCCTCTGGACCTCTCTGTCACTTTGGCTGATCATTTCTCCCAGCAGTGCTCTCTCCACCCCTAAGAAACAGCCACCCTAACCTGGTGTCTCAATCAGAGCATCGGACAGAGAGTCATCTGGGGTCAATTCAGAGGAGACTTTCTGGAGGAAGCAAAAAGGAACAAAGAGGAGGAGGTTGCTGTGTCTGGTTGGAGGTCGGGGAAGTCTTCACAAGGTGGAAGGGCACGCCAAGCAGAGGGATCAGGTGCAGAGGTCGAGAAAGAGAAGGCGTCTCAGAGGAGTCTAAGCAGTTGGAGTATATGGGGCATCCTGGTGCCTGGGGTGTGCAGGACTGTGGGTGAGGGCAATGGGGAGCAACAAGACTCCAGGCTCTGATACCAGCCCAGGAGGCGTGTGGGCTCCTAAAGGCAGGGGTTTGAAAGAGTCCCTGAAAAATTGCTGTGGATGGTAGATTGTGGTCTGGGGAGAGCCTGGAACCTAGAGAAGGTGGAGTCTGGAGATTATGGTCACACTTCAGAGGAGAGAAGATGATGGTAGAAACCAGGACAGGGGCCATGGGGGAGGTCAGAAGGGAATATCCCCAGGAAGAAGAAGCGGGTGGGGCACTCCCCAAGGTTTCATCTCGGGGTTCATGCAATGGCACTGAGCAAAACAGCAGGCCAGGTGACCTTGGCGGGGACAAGCAGGTCTGTCTCTGATAACTGGTGTCCCGAGAGTGGGTGTCCCCAGGGAGGTGTGAGGACTGGGAAGAGAAGCAGCCCCCCACATCAAGAGAGGGGTCCCTGGAGGAGATTGAGAAAGAGTACCAGGGGGGTGAGTGGGAAACCAGGAGACTGGCATCAGGGGGCAATGGAGTAGCAGTCTTCGGTGCCTACACAAGTAAAGACAGGCCTTGGGAGAGACCACTGCATCCAGCGAGGGCTGGCCAGCCTGCAGCAGCCTTGAGTGTGAGAGAGAGTCAAGGAGGGGGTCAATGAAGGTAGATGACCCTTCCTCAGGCTCAGGTGGGGAGGAGCCAGGGCAATGGGCCACATCTGGTATTAGTTGGGGCCATTTTTAGACTGAGAAAGGCAGTGGAGAAGAACCCAGGAAAGGGGGACAGCCAGAGCTGAGCCCCTGAACTGGCTGAGGGCTGGGTCCAGAGAACAATATGGTGTGACCTTGAAGGTCTCCCTTAGGACTAACTGGGTGGGGGTCAGGCTCTAGATGAGGGGTGGTTACTGTTATTCATTCATCAAACATTAGCTGAGTGCCTACTGGGTGCAAGGCAGTGCCTAGGCTGGAGATTGAGTGGTGAATACACTATGTTACTGTGATTCCTGAGGAGGTCATCTGGGGAGAAGGGTGTTCAACAGTTGCCTGTCTCCCTTTCTCCCCGGGAGGACTCAACTCCCTTGAGCAACCCCGGCAATGACACTCCCCTGTGGGGCCTAGCAGAGGCCAACACATTGTCAGGGAGATGGAGAAACTATTTCTTTAGTTGCACATGAGGAGGACTTGCCCACTGGCCAGGGAGCCCCGTGAGGCAACAACAACAGGGGCTGAGGCAAGCCTCAGCCCACATCCTGGCAGGCAGCCAGTGATGGGAGGGTCAGGAAGGCTCCTGGTTGGGTCTTCACATGAAGCCCAGGCTGGGCATAAAGGAGGGACCTGCAGGTTGGGAGGAGGCTGACTTGGGGACCATGGAGACCCAGAGGGACCGCACCTCCCTGGAGCGGTGGTCACTGTTGCTAGTGCTGCTGGGCCTGGTGATCACTCCAGCCACATCCCGGACCCTTAGCTACAGGGAGGCTGTGCTCCGTGTTGTGGATAGCTTAAACCAGCGGTCCTCAGAGGAGAATCTCTACCGTCTCCTGAAGCTGGACTCAGAGCCCCAGGGAGTGAGTGGAAGAGGGAGGCAGTGAGGAGGGAGGCTCTGCTCCAACCAGCCAGTCTTGGCTATACTGTCCCTCCCTTTGTTCATGCTTTGCTCACGTCAGGAAGGCTTTTCTACCTTTAAGTGCGGTCCCACCTCTTCCAGGAAAACTTCCCAGAGCTGTGTGCTCCCCCCCCCCACCAGCATGAGTGCTTCTTGCCTTGGAATCTCTACTGGGTGAAGAAGTGCCACTTCCTTTCAGCCTTCTGGAAGTTCCAGGGTTAAGAGTGGGATTACTGGCTCTGGGATGTGAGTTCCCTGCCCAGGGAAGGGCTCTGCTCAGCCTTGAGATTCCAGTGGCAATTTCTTTGCCTCCAGGAGGCCCATGCTTTCCTGTGGCCCCCTAAGGGGGAGGTGCTACTCATTAGAGCTTGTCTGAGGTCTGTTCATGCTCTCTCAGCTTGGTGAGGGCAGGAATGGGCTCTGTCCTCACCTCTGTGCCTTAGCTCAGAGCCAGTGCCAGGCACATAGCAGGGGCTGTTAAAAGGCTGCTCTCTTAGTTGGGAGGTTGGTGGGGGGCGCAAGGTTTGGGGGAGGGGTGGGAAGGAATACAGATTAGAGAAGGCAAGCATGAGCCTGAGTCTGGTCTTCCCACTTCCTCCCTTGACCAGGACGAGGACCCGAACATCCCAAAGCCTGTGAGCTTCACCGTGAAGGAGACTGTGTGTCCCAAGACAACACAGCAGCCCCTGGAGCAGTGTGATTTCAAGGACGATGGGGTGAGGCTGCGGGTGCTGGCAGATGCCCGCCTGGGAGCTAAACAAGTGGCTTCCTGGGAATATTTCCAGCCACTGGGGTGAGGCTGGGAGGTTATGGCACAGGGGTTCCAATTTGACCTAGAACCTCCTCTTCTCAGCCGGTGAAACAGTGTGATGGGACAGTCATCCTGGACTCGGACAGAAGACACTTTGACATCAACTGTGATGAGGTGAGTGGCCCCTTCTGGGTTGCAGGGGTTGATGGGGGTGGTGGTGCATAGAACATCCTACGGACCAATTTTTTTTTTAAGATTTTATTTATTTATTTGACACACAGAGAGAGATAGCGAGAGAAAGAGAGAGAGAGAGAGAGAGAGAAAGCACAAGCCGGGGGAGTGGCAGGCAGAGGGGAGAAGCAGGCTTCCTGCATGAGCAGGGAGCCCGATGTGGCGCTCGATCCCAGGACTCTGGAATCATGACCTTGAGCTGAAGGCAGCAGTTTAACCAACTGAGCCACCCAGGCGCCCCATCCTATGGGCCAATTAACCACTGTGGCATCCAGGCAGAGAAAGCCCCTCCTACCCTGGGCTTCTCCTTCAACCTGAGCCTCAGGTCTCCAGGACTGTCTCTGCAATCCCTTAGAACAGTGGTTCTCAACGTGTCGTCCTGAGAATCTGGGAATTTGTTAGAAATGCAAATTCTCAGGCCCCACTCAGACCTACAGAATCAGATTCTGGGGTGGGGCCCAGCAATTTGTACTTTAACAAACCCTCCAGGGGATTCTGACTCCTGTTGATGCTTGAGAGCCCCTTTGAGTAATGAGCTTTCAGCTGTGAGACCCTGGGAAGGCCCCTGCCATCTCTGGGCCAGTTTCTTCATCTGTTTGTGGGTGTAGGGATTCAATCAACCACACACTCCGAAGGTTATAGCCAGAGGATGAACTGAAGCCTCAGGGCTCTTGGGGTGGCCCTAGAAGGGGGGTGTCTAGGAGGGGAGGGGTCTTGTCTTGACCCTGGGCCCAGCCCAGCCCCCATAAAGAAACTGCTTCCTTCTGATGCACAGGTCATGGAAATCAGATTTGGCCGGCTGCGTGATCTCATCAGGAGAGGGAGGCAGAAGATTGCTGAAAAGATTCAGAGAATTGGCCAGCAAATCAATAACATTTTTAGGAAACTTCAGGCCAAGAAAGAGTCCTAAGGGTCTGCTTTGCCCTGGTTCAGGCTTCTGGACCCTGAAAAATAAAGTTTTGTGAAAGCAACTTCCTCCAAGCTTCAATTTTACTTATCCTGCCTCCTCGCACTTACCACGACCGAATCCTCAATTCTGGGAGGACGTGTGCGTGTGTGCGTGAACGCGCATCCATGCAAAACACCAAAGTGGGGACAGCTAGTCCATCCAGAAGGCCTTGGGGGGAGGCTGTAGGGCCAGGAGGGCCAGGATAGTGTCTCCATTCTCCGGGTTCTTCCCCATGCCCTTCAGATGCCTCCCACCATCCTTGTTGAACACCACCCAGTAGTGATTCAGGAGCTCCACCCTGAGTGTAGTGGTAGTGGAGAGACTGCAGAGCTGTTCCTGCTCCTATGGAGGTGACAGCTGAGGGAGGGACCAAGCATTTTGTGAAACACAGAGGCACAGTTCAGTCTCCTGGCTGGCTGGGTTCTAAGGTCCGCCTGCTGGTACAATTCCCATAAATTTCCAATTCCCCTTGAAAATCTTAATGAAAATCTTAACTCTGGGGGCACTTAGGTGGCTCAGTTGTTAAGCGTCTGCCTTCAGCTCCAGTCATGATCCCAGGATCCTGGGACTGAGTCCCCTGTCCGCTCCCTGCTCAGCGGGAAGCCTGCTTCTCCCTCTGCCTGCCACTGCCCCTGCTTGTGTTCCCGCTTTCACTGTCTCTCTCTCTCTCTCTCTCTCTGTCAAATAAATAAATAAAAAATCTTAAAAAAAAAGAAAGAAAATCTTAACTTTGGAAAAGACTATATCGCTCCTGGCATCTCCTCTGGCATTGGAAAACACTGTTTCTTTAGCTGGGTAGCAGATTTAAGTTGGGGGCTTGTGTTTAGGGATCAAATGGTACCAACATTTGGCACCATTAAAAGCAAGAATCTTGCTCAGCAGGCTGAAGAGCTCTGGCTAGGAGAGACATGGGTGTTTCAGACACTGTCAATGTCTTGCCCACTTGCCAGTCAGTAGCTGACTAGAAATACCTGTGGCTCTTTGCTAGGGGAGTTGGGCACTAGGGCACTCCAGGGAGCAGCCTCAACCAAAGACTGGTGGGAGTTGGTGGAAAAATATTTTCTCTTCCTTGATCCTTGGGTGGGTCCACTCCAAGATGGGTTACACATCGCCCAGGTCCCCAGCTGGTTGTGCCCCTGTCGCCCACAGCAATGACCTGTTTATTAACACACCCTGTTCTGGCTTCTGTTCCTGCTCTGTCTCACTTGTGCTCCCACTGCTGCTTTCTCTCTTTGCCTGCCAAATAAACTCCTTCCCCTTGCGTCCTTGTCTTAGATCTGTTTCTGGGCCAACCAAAAATAAGACATAGTCGTCCTGCTCTGAGAGCAACAGGAAGCAGGATATCACACAGAATTTCCTTTGTTATCTGTCATACTTGCTTCTTCCTGGTGAGCAGGTCATGCTAAGATTTTTTGTTTTGTTTTGTTTTGTTTATTTGAGAGAGAGAGAGAATGAGAGATAGAAAGCACGAGAGGGAAGAGGGTCAGAGGAAGAAGCAGACTCCCTGCCGAGCAGGAAGCCCGATGTGGGACTCGATCCCAGGACTCCAGGATCATGACCTGAGCCGAAGGCAGTCGCTTAACCAACTGAGCCACCCAGGAGCCCAACGCTAAGGTTTTCCGCTTCCCGTGGCTCCCACCTTCCCAAGCGGGCCCATGTTGAGTGGGCTCCACTCGACCCTCCCTTCTGTGACAGCCGCTCTTCATCAGTTACTGAATTCCCATGCCCTGTTGTGGGCCATCGTTGTGATCACCCTGGAAATCAAAGTTAATTGTCTCAGTGAAGGGACGTGGTCTTCTCTGATTACAAGGATCTGAAAAGGCTCTTGCTTTAGGAAATAGGTTTTCTCTCTTCCATCAAAGGTGTTCATCTTTGTGATTTATTTAGTTTTTAAATTTTTCTCAATATTTTATTTAAAAAGTAGCTAAGCAGGGGCACCTGGCTGGCTCAGTCGGTAGAGCATGTGACTCTTGATCTTGGGGTGGTGAGTTTGAGCACCACATTGGGCACAGAGCTCACTGAAAAAATAATAAAATTAAAAAATGAAAAAGTAGTTAATTGAAAGAATTGAGTTAATCTGAAGTTAATTAACTTTCAATTAAGTTAATTGAAAGAATTCAAGTACATTGAAAGAATTGTACATGTACCCACCTATTAGAATCTACAATCAATATTTTACTTAGATTATTTTTGTAGTTGCTTTAGAGTCAATCATTTAACTGCTCCTTGGATGGTCTTTGCTCCTTGTGGCTGGTTTGGGGGCAAAAGCATGGATTCAGGAGCCACATTTTTAGCCTGGTCCTTTTAGGGGAAGATGGCCTCCACAGATGTTTGTGATCAGAGGAACCACCCCAGACAGACAAGATCAGAGCAGCTGGTGACATTGGCCTGTATCAGTCACGGGGGCTGTGGGCTGCCGCCTCCAGAACACGTAATAGGCACCCGAGAAATGGCAGTCCCTCTCTTCTCTTTAGGGGAGAGTTTTGCCTGATGGGGAACGTGTATTTTCTAGTGATTCCAAGGATGACTTTGGTAAGTCAAGACTGGAATGTCTTTAAACACGAGGCAGAGGAAGCATATTGCCTAGCTGTGGTCTCGTGGTGAAAATCGCGGATGGGAACTCAGAGTTTGGGGCCACATTCACTGGAGCAGCCCCAGGACACACAGCAGGTCAGGGGCATTAACTGGTGCCTTGTAACCAGCCAGATGCCACCCATGAGCAGAGATGAGTGGAGTTTGGCCTTGGTCCGCATCTGCTCACCTAGTGCAGAATGTCACTGTATTGCTCCAAAGATGAACAATATTTTTTACTTGTGATCTCAGTGCCAGTTTTGGGATTTTTGTTTGTTTTTGTTTTTAAAGCTCTTGATTGGGGGCACCTGGGTGGCTCAGTCAGTTGAGTGTCTGACTCTTGATTTCAGCTCAGGTCATGATCTCAGGGTCATGAGATTGAGCTCTGTATCAGGCTCCACATTCAGCATGGAGCCTGCTTGAGTTTCTCTCCCTCTGCACCGCCCCCCCCTGCACACTCACACACACTCTCTCTCTCTAATAAAGAAATAGTTCTTTAAAGCTTTTGATTGGTATAAGGGCCTCTAAACAACTAAATAAATCAGTAGGGTGTCTCCATGGGTCTGTCTTTAGCCTTTTGCTGCTTTTAGACATACTGTTTGTCACCGGACTGACCCATAATATGAACTTCAGCCTTAGAGCACATGGGTTCATGGCTTTTACAGGATGAGGATGGTAGAGCGTGCTCAGTGGGGCAGGAGGTGTTTTCCCCTCTTCCATATGTTGGAGCTAGTCAGCCTGTTGCTTTTTGTGACCACCAATGGTCCTCCCTGTTCACAAAGGCCTTTTTGGCATTTGAAAGATACCAAGTGCCTGTTTCTAGTTTGGCCAGATCCTGTTTGCAGGGATGAGGATGTGTACATCAGTGTGGTTCTGAGGGGACTCTGTGGTCTGGTTCTGGGCCCCTGGTTCCTGCAGCTGGTTCTGGGGCACAAGGGCAGGTCTGGCTGACAACCTCAGGAGCCTGGGGTACTGCATCTTTGGCCTGGGGCAAAAAAAAAAAAGAAAACGAGTTAGGGGAGCCTGTGGAATCCAGAATAAAAACCTGAGGTGAAGAAGCAATCCAAACAAACCATTAGTATGCAGGCGGGTTCGGCCAAGAGAAGCATCCCATGGGAGGTCCAGGGCGGGCTGGACAGCTGAACCAGAGGTGGTGGTTTTGAAAGGAGCCAGAAGGAATTTCCTCAAGCTGAATCTGTAGCCCCATGGGCTGCTTCCAAGGTACGTGGAGCTTTGGTCAAGAGCGGGGAGGGAGCACTTAGAAGCCTCCAGTGAAGTCAGCCACTGGGAATGTCTGCTCCTCTCCTTCCCTGCCTCTTCCTTAACGAAGATAAAGGGTAGCCTCCCCACATCGCACATGGGGGATAAACCAAACCAAAACAAAACAGGGAAAACAGAAACCTCACACAAGGTAGGAAAAAGTCAAATAATTTCTCCAGGATAGACAGATTTACTTAAATTGCCTGAAAAGACTTTAGTAAGCTAAATATAGGACAGTCTCACCCAATCATGGCACGATCTTTATTGCATTCCCCATTGCATGCTAGGGAATAGAAATTTCACATGACTTGTTGGATTCCAAAATCCGAATAAGGTGCAAATTGGCAAGCCTCAGCTACAGTTGGTAAAAGAGAGGACAGTTTTCTTGCCCATTGCCAAAATCCAGCTTCAGAGCCATCCTGGGTCTTGCTCGCCCTTCCTGTCTGCCAGCTTAGCCCCAACCCCTGCCCTGTCTGCATCCGGATGCTGCTCTTGTCATCCAAGGAGCACAGCGGAGCTCAGACCCATCAATACCTCCCTCACCCTGGGAGTGTTCCTGGTTGATGTTCCAGATCCAAAGTCCCAGGGATGCAGACAGGGAAGGGCTTTGGGAGGGTTGGGTGAGTGGGGGAGGTGGCCGGAGTGGCCTTGGTTATCCTTGTCGGGATAGGGTGAAGGAGGCTCCTGGGTAAGGCTGTCTCAGTCCAGAGCTGTGGGCACACTTTCTCCCGTAGACACGCTTAATCCATCCAGTCCCTAAGTTACATTATTACATTCCTTCTTGGGATAATAATTCCGTAGTATTTCCACAATAATGACGGTATAACGTCTGTAATTACAACCTGATTTTGAATCTGATCTCTTTACCTAATATATATTCACATCAGAACACAAGAATATACTGAGTTTTTTTGTTTGAACCAGCCTAGTTTGAAATACTCAGCTTTATCTACAAAGGAAAGCCCGATTAAACTGCCTGAGGAGATGTGATCTTTTAAGCCTCCTTCCCTGTATCTGAGAGGCAGTGTGTTGAGTGGACGGAGGACCCCTCATTTACATTTCGATGATGGGGAAACTAGGACTTCAAAGTGAGGAAGTGGTGGGTTTTGGATTTTCCATCAGTTCTTTTGGATTGTAAATTCAGTGTCTTCAACAGCCATATTATATTGCTTAATATGAGATAATCTGAGAGGAT